GGATATTTTCAATTTACAATGGTTTTATCAGGACATAATCTCATTGTGAGTCAAAGAATATCTGTATTTTGGGGGGAAATATCCCTTGGAGAATTTCTGAGCACCCATGAAACCATGCATATTTGTATATCCACAATGGTTTGTAAACAATTTTAGGGGACTCAGAGACCACCAAACTTCACGTTAGGATCTCTCTCGAGGATTTGTGGACCTCAAGCGATACCCCAGAATACTGCTTATTAAGATCATTGTTTTTACATTTGGGGTTCTTGAGTTTGATAACCATCACCAGGATCTGCTTTTATTTTAGCTAACATATACAACAAATTGCTTGTTAGAAGAGCAGAGATCATGGAAAAAATGAATCTGCTCCAAAAAGTGTGCACCGTCTTTGTTTGTTCTCTGCAGACGCCTGGTGAGGGAAGGGGAAGTACTTAGAGAGGTGTTTATGACATTGGCATTTGTAATGAGCTGTGGTTTCAAGCATCCCCCGGAGCAGCTCACTTTGTCCTGTGTCTTGGAAGGATCTCCTCCTCTGTGGCGCCATTCAGAGAGGAGAGGAAGGGACTGGGCAGGGGTGGGTCTGAGCCCTAAGCAATGGGGATTCTGGGGACTTAGCTTTCTGGTGGCTTTGTTGTTGTTGGCTAGTTGCTGTGGAGGCTGGGGGAGGGAAAGGCATATAAACCTGCTCCCGGCTCAGAGGGAGCTTGTGAGGTTCCCCCTGACCAAGGATCACTTGCCGCTGTCTCCCTGAGAGGTCACGCATGGTCATTCTTCATAGTTTTTGCAGGTTGCTTCAGGCAGATCTGTAGCGCTCTGAGATTGGCCTCGTTGGGGGAGAGTTGTTGGGACTGAACTAGGACCTCTAGGGCATGTCCAGAAGGTAGGCCCCTGAGGGGAACGGAAACCTGCAAGTGACCTTGGGTGAAGTCACTTCATCTTTAAAGCTTTAACTTTCTCATCATTAAACTAAATCTAGAGTTCACCCATTTAGTGGCTTCATTCAATCCCATAAATATTTATTAGGAGCTACCATTTGCCAGGAATGTTCCGGGCACTTGGAACAGATTGGTAAAACAAAAACACTGTTCCCCGGGGAGGTAGTGGGTGGGGGTTCACAGGGGGCTGTGAGAAAGGGACATCAGGGAAAGGATGATGAGATGGGACAAGATTTTTAGGCAGAAAGGACACCCTGAGCCGGGGTCCTGCATCTGGCCTAGATGGCTACAATGCACCTGCTTCTTTGGAGGATGATCAAGGGACACCAGCAGGGCTCGGGCTACAAAGGCATTGGGGAGGGAGAAAATGGGAGGCCAGAGGCCTTAAAGGCCGTGTCTAGCTGTGTGGATGACCAGCTTGGCTCCATCTACTCCCAGGCTGTGAACCACACTCTCCACATTGAGGATCCTACAAATTGTGCAGAGATAGGGGTACCCTGAGTCACCCCACATCATTCACCTAGGAAGGAAAGATGGAAGGCCACGTGGTACGCATGGCTCAGCAGGATTACAATGAACTCGGTGTCCCTGGTCCAGTCTGAAGCCCCACTCCCTCTCCTCCTCCTGTGGAACCCATGTTTCTGTCCAAGAGGCTCCTGAATGGTTCAGAGATTTATGGATGACTATGACAGTCCTCTGGCTCTCCCCTGGCTCACTTGGGCACCCTTTCTTTGGCCCTCCCTAAGTTCACTGCCATCACTGAGAGCATGGTACTGTTCAGGGTGTTCCTGGGCCCCTGTGTGCAGGAATTGGCTGCAAGGTCAGGGGTTATCCTAGGGCAGTGCCAGGTGGCACAACCCTCTCATGAGTTACTGACCCAAGAGGCAGACTGACAACTGAGACTCTTGCTGAGGAGCTGTCCACAGTGGAGAGAGTAGAGCAGGGTCACCGGGGTCAGAAACATGAACACTACACTAAATCCATTTGCTGTTGACTTTCAGCTTTACCGCCAATGTGCTGTCAGACTTTGCGCTAGCTACCTAGCTTTTCTCAGGCTGTACATGGGAATCACCATAGCATCTTGTCCTTCTTCACAACACAGTATATATTAAGCAGGTAGCATAGTGTGTGACACATAATAGTTGCTCGATAAATTAAAAAAACCTGAATTTTCTGGAATAGTACTAGTCTAAAATGTTTTCTCGTGACTTCCATGATAAACAGGTATAAAGTATAAATTGATATAATGTTTTAATAGTTTTTTTGGAGATTTATACTTTGTGATTTTAAAAGTTTCTTTCCTGTTATGCAGTATGATTGCTTCTTGGCCATACTATGGAAAATTTCAGATATGTGAACCAACATATATGTACAAGAATGTTCACAGTATTTTAAGTGAAAAAAATGATGACAGCAATCTGAATGCTCAATGATATGTGTAGCGGGTTAAATAATCTTGGTATAGGAAGAAATAGAATATTTCTCAACCATTAAAAATAAAGTTTACAAAGAATCTTCAATGACATGGGAAAGTCCTTGTGATATGTGTGTTAGCTTTTCGTCACTGTGATCCAAATACCTGACAGGAACAACTTGGAGGAAGTAACCCCATGATGTGGGGTGACTCAGGGTACCCCTATCTCTGCACAATTTGTAGGAACCTCAATGTGGAGAGTGTGGTTCACAGCCTGGGAGTAGATGGAGCCAAGCTGGTCATCTACACAGCTAGACATGGCCCTTGAGGCCTCTGGCCTCGCATTCTCTCCCTCCCCAATGCCCTTGTAGCCCCAGCCCTGCTGGTGTCCCTTTGGCTCAGTCCTGGTGGGTTCATTTCATTGCTTCAGGCCTGAGATGAGGCAGAACATCATGGTGGAAGGATGTGGTAGAGAGAGACAGACAGCAAGGGTGGAGGGAGAGATGAAGTCCTTCATCCATGCCTGATCTGCCTATTACCTTGTCCCTTAGATCCATGCATCAAATGGATTAATCCACTGATAAGGTCAGAACCCTCATGATCCCATCATCCCCCCTGTAAACATTGATGCATTATGTAACACATAGATTTTGGGGGACTTTCCAGAGCCAACCATAACACGTAGCTTTCATAAGAAAGTCCAGGATGCAAAATTACATATTCAGTGTGACATTCAACTTAATAGAAAATTATCATCTGTTATAGATAAAAACTCAAAAGAATTATGGACCGAAATATTAATAGTGGTTACTTCTGGGTGATGGGCTGCAGATGTTTTTAGTTTATTCTTTGACCTTTCTTCAGTTCCCCAAATGAATATGGAATCCTTCTTCAAGCAGGAAAAAGAAAAGCAATCACTTTATTTTTAAATCATGTGGTGAGTACACATACTTATCAGACCATGTGTCTGGAATTTTATTTGGAAAATATGGTTACAGTAAATATAGGTCAACTACTTTCCAAGATTTTTTTAATTGGAAACTTTAAAAATTTTCAAAATAAATCATTTCCTGGGCTATATCTGGATGTGAAGGAAAAATAAAAATTTAAAAGGGGTTTGGGGTAGTGTCTTCAACACTCCTCTGGACTACTTGTAACTCCCCCCTTTTGGCTCTGGGACAGTACAGGGTGGGGTGTCTTCAGTTTCTTTTTGAGAAACAGCTCAGAGGCCTAGAGAGTCACCCAGTCAAGGGACACCCTTTAGCTTTAGAGAGAACAGCTTTCCTTGACTTCGCCATGTCAGGGCAACAACAGACCTGTGAACTCAACAGGTTTTCACCTGGGGTTGGCGGCCTTGGTAGGCGTAACTTAAAAAGGCAGCCATGTTTCAAACAGGGTCTTTCACATTTACAAAGCCTCAGATAAAGGGACTTCTGACATGAAGGTGACGAGGAAGTGGCATCGTATGACACTTCTCAAGCAGAATGTGCACAGAACCACTTGAGGATTCTGTTAGAAAGCACATTTTCCTACATGGGTGTGGTGAGGCCCGGGAGTCTGTGTTTCTGTCCAACAGCAGGTGAGGCCATGCTGCTGGGTGAGGGCCCCTCTCTGCACGGACGGGCGTAGAGCAACAGAGAGGTGCTGCAGAGGTCCTGGGAAGTCCTGGTCCCTGTCAGCTCCTTAGAGTGCTACAGAAAACCATAGGCTGTAGCTCTGTCCATCCAAATCACAGCCTGTGCTTAAACTCGCAGCAGCACACCTGGGCTCCATCTCATGGGGCCTTCAACCCATGGGCCCAGGGTGCCCCCTTTTCAAAAGCTCTCCTGGGACTTGGGTGGCTGAGGCAGGAGGATCACAAGTTCTAGACCAGCCTCAGCAACCTGGTGAGGCCTACTCAAAATAAAAGGGTTGGAGATGTGGCTTCATGGCTAAGCCGCCCTGGGTTCAATCCCCAGTGTCAAAACCCAAACAAAACACAGAACAAAATACAAAACCAAAAACCTCCAGGCACAAGACTCCAGTCAGCCTGTTGACCCACACTGACCAGTGGCCTCTCCACTGCGCTGTGCCCACCCCTTGCCCAGGAGGGTCCTCACAAAGCCTATTCTCAGCCGCACGTGTCTTGATTCTAGAATAATCTTCAGAATGAGATAGATGGTCCTGTCTCCACTGCCACGTAGGTAGTTTTGCTCCCTTTCTGACCCAATGATCAGCCATTTGGAAAAGATCGTAGATTAAAGTGGAATCTGGCATTTTCTTGACTTCTAGTCAACATTCAGGAAACAAGTGGAGGAGCTGAGAATCTTTCCTGGCTGAGGACTCCATGAATGTGTCTCCAAGAAATTCCCCAAGATTCCAAAACTGGAATTTCTTTTAGAGATAGAAGTTGGTCAATGCTAAAAATGCAATGCCCTACTCTCTGGGTTAACAAAATGAAAATATCTGGGTAGCATTATTACTGCTGACATACACGAGTTCAGTTCACATTGATTTCTCCAAGATCCAGTGAAATAGAGATATAAAAAATCCAATCACATCAAAATTGTCAACAAACTTTGCTGACATAGAAGCTCAGAATGGAGAAAATTTTCACTTTCCCCATATTTAAAAAAAGGTAGGGTGGTGTAAAATGAGAACTACAAAACTACAGAAGATATTTATTTATGGATTAGGGCCAAATCAGAGTCACGTGGCTTGAAGCCCACATCCACCCTCGTTTCTTGTAAAAGGCACATGACATCACGTTTTAGTCCTAACCTGCTCTCCGTGCCCAGCTCCGAGGTATAAGGCGTGTTCATAATATTGTGCACAGAGTCTCTTGAACTCTTCCATCTTGCCAGCTGATAACTCCTGAAGCCCGAGTCCCTCTCCCTGCCCTCAGCTCGGGCGGCCACCTTTCTGCTTTCTGTTTCTGTGGTGTTGACCGCCTTAGACGCTCTGCTGAGTGGAATCGCGCAGGCTTTGTCTTTTTGTCACGGGCTTAATTGGAAACGAGCTCCTTCTATCAGGCTTTCTATCAGAGCTTGGCTCTGGGGCAGCACGAGTTGGTGGCCTCGTCCCTGCGAAGCTCTGGTGAAGAGGCTTCAAAAATGTGGGGGCCGTGCAGGAGGGAGGGCAGTGGGTGGAAAGGAGAGGGGCCGGAGGTTTCACCTCGTGAGTGAGGTGGGTCGTGGCAACGAGCAGTGGCGGCCAGGATTCCTCCAGGGGTTGGTGGACAGAAAAGCCCACCAGGGCTCCGCCCTGAGGCCAGCTGGCGGCGGTAAAGCACCTCTTTAACAGAAAAAAAAAATGAACAAATAAAAAAACAGACCCTGGGACTATTATTTTAATAACTGCACCCAAGTGAGTCCCAACCCAGAGTGCTACTTCCTCTGTGACATGTAGGTCACTTGAAGGTCACCTCCAGGCTCTGGGGAAGGGCCACTGGGCCAGTGCAACACAGCTTGTCTCTGAGTGGGGAAGTGGCCTGTCTCTAGACAGTGGAGATAGATGTGTCAAGGGTCCCCACTTACTCCTGTAATCTGCTGTGTTGCTTTGTCCCCAAGAGAACCTGGCCATCTGGAGCTGGGGGAGGACAGCAGTGGGCCCAGAGGCCTGTCTCCCCTGCAGCCCTATCCACAGCCGTCTCCTGTCCCCGGAGCCCTGCCTGCTTCATGCTGCTCTGGACATTTCCACTGCATTTCTGTGTCACAGTGGAGCTCACCTGTGAACTTGTAGGGAGCCCCCCTGGCAGGGAACCAACCCTCCTTCCTCTGAACAGGAAGGTCCACTTGCGAGCTGCCTGGACCTAGAGCTACATGGGGGTGGATTGCCAGCAGCTGTCCAGCCCTGTTAGGTGCCAGCAGCCCAGAGTGTGCTCAGGCTGAGACCAGAGCTGTGTGACGTGGAGTCGGGCAGCCGGTTCTCTGTCTTGTGAATTCACAGAGGAATCCATGGACACCAGAGTGAGAGCACAGTAGCAGGACTTATTAGAGCGACAGAAAGAAACCAGAGCTCCCGAGGGATGGCAACAAATGTCCGTTGGGTAGGGGTTTTAAAGCCGTATCTGATGGCCAGCAAGGCGATTGCTGGGGTGAGGAATGGACCAATAAGCCCTTCAAGCTCGGAGTGTGGCAAGCCAACCAGAAGAGCATAATTACAATCTGTTATTTACATGATTAGGAGGACAGGCTCTTTTGGCATGTCAATTAGAGGAAGCATTTCTGGTAGGGGTCTGCTTATGGTCGGCCGTTGCTGACCTGAGGACAAGGTACCTGAGGAAGGACAGCTGCGGTCGCAGCTCTGAGAACGGCAGCAGGTGATCTGACTCAGAGGCAGGCCCTGTGGCTAAGGCAGGCAGCGGGCAGCCAGTCGCAGGATGTTTTCCGACCTGCTGTCTCCTTGAAGGTTGGCATGCTGTCCCCTCCCCTCCTGTCCTTCCCCAAGGCCCTCGTCCTGGCTGCTGATGGGAGACCTACTTCCTGCCTCAGTTGTACTATGATGTCAGGGAACGACAGAGGCCTGTGTGGTGCCCATCTCCCATGATCAAATAGAACCCCTGGCTGCTCTGCCTTCTGGCTGTCACACTGATGGTTGGGGAAGCTGGAGGGGAGGGACACCCCAGGAGGTCCCTGATATGCCAGCTGGGAGCAACATGGGGTGCGTTTGGGTCCTGATTTTAACATATTGGCTGTGAAAAGACTGTGTTGGGGCAGTTGGGGAAATGTAAGTATCAGGTGGATATTAACCAATAATAAAGAATTCTCCTTAATTTTGTTAAAGTGTGTTACTGTTTTGGGCCTGGAATCTGGCCAAGGGCCCCCAAGATGAACCCCTACTCTCAGCGGTAGGGAAGCCCTTTAAAAAGGCCTCCTCTGGGCACCCACCCTGCATCTCTCCGACCTCTCCCAACCCTTCACCCTCTATATAAAAACAGGGACAAAGTCTGGGCACTCTGGGTCAGAAACATGGCCCACATTGGCACTAGTGGCCTACCTATCCAAACAGCTGTACCCCACCGTCAGGGGCTGGCCCCCATGCCTCAGAGCCCTATCAGCAGCCCATGACCTCCAAAAGAAGCACACAAGCTTACCTTTGGCTCCCCACTAACCATCTCATCTCCTCACCATTAAAGGACTTTCTCACTTACAAGGGGCTACAGTCACTTCCTCCTTCCAGGGTTCTATCCCTCCTTGTCTCATTCCTTGAAAATCCCTCCATCTCTTTTCAGCCCTGCTCTCCATTACTCTGCCTCCTTCCTCCCATCTTCTCACTCACAAGATCCTATCCACAAATGCCTGGAGGTGTTAGAGATGATTTTACACTGCCCCACCACCATTTCTGAGGGACCCCTGCCCTCTTCAGACCTTGTCTGGTTCTCAGATGGTAGCTCCTTATATACAAAGGGGTTAGAGTGAGGGGTATGCTGTCGTTTCCCTCTCATCCATCCTAGAGGCAAAACCTCTCCCACCCAATACCACCAACCAACAGGCTGAACTCATAGCTGCCACAAGGGCATGCGAGCTAGCGGAGGGAAAAACCCTCTCCCTACATAATACGTCTTCCATATCCTGATCTCCCGCCCACGCAGCCATTTGGAAAGAAAGGGGCTATTGACCACCAGAGGGACGGCAGTCATTAATTCCACACTTATTTCTGGCCTCCTACCAGCCTCCAGGCTGCCTTCCCAACTGGGAATAATCCATTGCAAGGCCCCAAATTGACTCCTCCCTTACTACTGTGGGGAATTCCAAGGCCGATCAAACGGCTCCATCAGCCGCCCTACAGAGTTTCACCTCCTCTCTGCTACTCTTCGTTACCACCGGGGATTGGCCCAAAGATCCCCACAACTCTTCCAGTTTCCTCACTCTCTATTCCATTCTAGTCCACAGAGCCTCACTACTTCCCTTCACTCCTTTTTCACCCTTTCCCCACGCCATAAGACCCTCCTACAACAGATCACTTCCGCTTGTCAGATCTGCCAGAGAACCAATACCAATACGCCATTAAACTCCCTAAAACTTCCCCGTCTCATCAGGCCCGCGGTCATACCCCAGATGCAGCCTGGCAGATTGATTTCACAACATGCCCCGAGTAAAAAACATAAAATATCTTCTTGTATTGGTAGATACTTTTTCGGGATGGGTTGAAGCCTTTCCCACTTCCGATAAACGGGCCTCTACGGTAGTTGATCTATTGCTCCTTGGGTGAGGCGTTGAGTGGGCTCTGGTCCAGCCCACCTTCTCTATCGTCACTCTGTCTTCCCCTGTCTGAAGTGCTCTCTAAATCCTTCCTTTCCTCAACTTCTCCATCCTGTGTGGAGGTTGCCCTGTTATGGTGGTCCACATGCCCTGCTTCTGAAAAACCAAGGTGCTTCTTTGGGTCCTGTCCGTTTGCCAATAGAAGAGTGAGAAGCTTTGGTGTCATGAGCTAGTTACAGGCTTTGATAGAGTTTCTGCTTTTCCTATGTGTATATGTGTGCATGTCTGAGTTCAGTTTTAAGTTCCCAGGGGAGGAAGTCACCATCTTCTGACCGCAGCTGGAGTGTATGTAGGTACCACTGAGACTCGCTGGTTAGCTGGAGCATCTATGCCAAGTGGGATATCCTGCTCTTAGTGTGTCCACCTTCAGGGCTCCAGAGGGCCTCCCAGCTTCGGAGAATTCCAAGTATCAGTATGTAAAGTTGAGGTGTTTCTCATAAAACCTGGAGAGATCTACTGCTCTCAAGGGGAAATATGGTAGCTGGTACACCCAGGTAGGAGAAAGTTTGAAGAGCAGCCCTAATAGAGAGGGGAGGAAGCTAGATTGGACTAGGAATGAAGAGTGGGATTGAGGGTGTTAGGTGCAGGACAGGCTGGTCTGCAGGGCCTGCAGGGCATGCCAAAGAAAGTTAGCTGCAGAATGACCTGGCCTCTCAAACCCTCTGTCTGGGTCTATATCACCTGTTTGCTTCAAGCCCAAACACCCAAGCCCCTGCTCAAGGCTGAACACTCAACCCCCCTTGGGCCAACAAGGCAGCTTGCAGACCCAGAGACCCCATTAGATTTGGGCTATAAAAACTCCCTTTGCCTGTTCCTTCCCTTTATCATAAAGTTCATTCAGACTCAGGTGAGTAAAATTTCTAATCAAGCTTTTAACCAGCTTCTCCTCAGGAATGACCAACTCCCGGCTACTGATGATACCTCCAGTCGAGACCTATGCCGAATGGACTGACGTCATCATGGATCTGTGGTGGCAAGGAACCTTCGTTGATACGGTCTTCTCTGCCCTCCTGTGGGGGCTCCTTACTTCCCTCCTTTTTCTCCCACACAGCCCCATTTCAGCAGGAAGCAGCCAGAATGATTCGACGCCCATTCTCATTTAATAACAAAGAGGGGGGAATGTTGGGAGTCGCCCCGGCTCCGAAGACTAACTTCCTCATCCCCCAAGAAGAGCTGTTCAATGGTGAGCCCTGCTGGCTCACATGATCCTTACTCACCAATCAGAGCCCTGCTGGATCACATGATCCTTACCTACCAATCAGAGCCCTGCTGACTCACCTGATCCTACCCACCAATCAGACTAGCCCTGCTGGCTCACCTGATCCTTACCCTCCAATCAAAAAGCACCCCATGCCAACTGTCAAACCACCCCTGGCTCTATAAATATGCAGAGCTGTTCCTCAATAAATGGGCATTTGCTCCGATGACAAGCCTTGTTCATTCTTTCAAATATAAGGGAAGGATTTAATATTTTTGAATTTTGTTTTTGCTTTCTAACGTTTCTTCATGATCAACACTGTGTGCGCAGGGTCATGCAGCTCTGTCTCACCATTTGCTTTGTTATTTTACTGAGAGGCAACGGCAGGCAGTTTGCATACATGGCAAGCAATGGCTTTTGGTTGAAATGCTTCTGGTTGAATTTGAAACTTTTACTAAGTTTCTAGCAATAGCAATATGCCAAAAAGTTAGTGGAAAGACAGACTTTAAACAAAAATAGTGCATATTAATTATACAGAACAGTGGGTTTCATTGTGGTATATTCATATATGCATGTATTATGATCATTTCCACCCCCATCCTCCTCTCCTCTGATCCCCTTCCTCTTCACTAATACTTTCTAATTTCATGTTATCTCCCCCGACCCCCTAGGAAAAATGTGAAAGAAAACATCTGATACTGTCTTTCTGAATCTGGCTTATTTTATTTCAAATGATGATCTCTAGTTCTATCTATTGTCCTTCAAAGGACACGATTTCATTCCTCTTTATGGATGAATAACACTTCACTGTGTGAATTTGCCACATTTTCTTCATTTATTCGTCTGCTGACCTAGGTTGATGTCATAGCTTGGTTCCTGTGAAGCATGTCCCATGAACCTGGATGTGAAGGTGTCCCTGCAGAGCTCCTCCAGACATACTAAGGAGTGATACAGAACAGAGAGGTTTCAAAGCAAATATTTTCTAAACCTTATTCATTTACTTATCTGATGGGCTAATCCAGGAAAACAAAACACATTTTTCTCAAGTCAATTTTAGAATACCAAGAGGGCAAAAATATACATAAGCACTGAATTATTAAATAATCATCTACTTTACTTTTTTTTTCTGTTGGCTAAGAAGTCATTCTGCTGAGTAATATTCCATTGTGTATATATGCCACATTTTATTTATCCATTCATCTATTGAAGGGCATCTAGGTTGGTTCCAGAGTTTAGCTATTGTGAATTGTCATTTTGGGGTAAATGGATGGAGCTAGAGAAGATAACGCTAAGTGAAGTTAGCCAGTCCCAAATAACCAAATGACAAATGTTTTATCTTATATAAGAAGGCTGATTCATAGTGGGGTAGGGAGAGGGAGCATGGGAGGAATAGACAAAACTCCAGATAGGGCAGAGGGAGGGAGGGGGCATGGGGTTAGAAATGACATTAGGAATGTGATAGACATTATTATCCAAAGTACATGTATGAAGACACAAATTGGTGTGAATATACTTTGAATACAACCAGAGATATGAAAAATTGTGCTCTATATGTGTAATATGAATTGTAATGCATTTGGCTGTCATATATACATGTCATTCTGCTGTTTTGAAAGACATTTGTTGGGAAAAAGTATGAATATCAATATGGCTGTTTAAATCAGGCCTTTCTTCCAACATATTTTTATGTTAATTTTCTTCATATTTATTGGTCTTGATTTTATTTATCAGGCACTCTTTAATAATAGGTTTTGTAAACCAGATATAATTGAAGACAGCTGAGTATTTTCACTAAAGATTCTTGTACAAAGTAGCTAATATTATAATTGGAGATGAGAATGTCTGTAGATTAGTAAATTAATAAATATTCATACATCTGTCTGGCTGTAAGTTTAACCTTGGATCAGCTTTGAAAGCAATGGTACAGGGTAGGGGGGAGGCATTTATCCCCATCATTTTGTGTCTGTCCTCTGCTTCTTAGCACCAGATGACTTGAATGTCAAAGACA